GAATGGCTTTAACATTGACGAGCTCAACAAAGGTTGAAATGTTGTTAAATCCACTAATAAAACCTAACCCATTTTTAATGATTAAGTATAAGATTCAAATACTCAACTAGTTGAGTGATTGACCTGTACAATTGAAAACTTTCAGGTCTTATTTTGGATATTTTTTTCATCTAGCAATATCATAAAAAGCAGTTTCTGACACACATTGATAAATTTTGGCAACAGGCAATATTTTCAATGTCTCTTTCTACCAGATTATTGGCAATTGTTAAGGTTGCTTTCTCATTTTTAAATTAATGTTTAGAGTGCCTATTCTGAGTCTATTCAGCCATATCGTGTAGCATAAGATAAAAAGGCCACTAGATTTTAGGTTGTCTTCTGCTGGGTTAGTGAGGTATGTTAACCTTGATACAAGAAAGCTGATAAAAATCCAAATTTCTCTAAAGAACCAGCTATATAGCAATTGACATTTGCTCTGCTACGGAATCGTGTATTTTCCAAGTATACAAGTACTGTAGGTTGTTGCTATAAACCAAGCTCCCTATTCTTGGTGGTTACTTAGAAGAGAGCAATAACCATAATGTTCAGTGGGTTTTTTTTTTGGTTTTTTTAAATACTTTTTTTTTTTTCTCCATCTTTGTTTTTTATCCTTAAGTCTTAAAAACAAGCTTATTGCTGAAGTATGGATAACCAAAAATGACACAATCTGATGTTACCGACTGAGACAAGTATATTCCCAGCATTTTTTTTTTTTTTAATCATTTCACCCCCAAGCAATAAAGCCACTAAGATGCACGGATGACTAAGTATGATAGAATGAGAAGTAAACATTATTATGAAGAGAGAACAATAAAAGAACAGGAATTAAGAAGAGTGAAGATGACGATTGACATTGCATTTATATTCTTGAAAATCAAAATTGACAAGGAAGCAAGAAACCAGAAGAGACTTCCACAAGTGAGAAATACGAGAGAAGAAAGTGTTAGTATAGAACTTGTGGTTACATCAAACCATTTCAACATTAAAATACATATGTTGGACAGTACCCTAATTTTAAAATCTTTTGATAATCACAGAATTATGCAGGGTATTTTCCCCACTCAAAAATTTTTAAAGTTTATTTATCAGGTCATCCTATAAGTTCTGTCCGAATTTTGAATAAAGAAAATGTTACATTTAATTACAAATTCAATCAACAATGTATTTTCCCTGATTATCTATGACTTCCTTCCATCTATTAACAAGCTTACTAATTCTATTACTGTAAAATTCTTTTGGCTTTGATTCAAAGAACTCACAAATGTCAGTTTTAACCTCTTCCTTTGTTACAAAAGCTTCCAAATGATTCTGTAAGCTACGAAACAAATGGTAGTCTGAAGGAGCAAGATTGGGAGAATAAGGTGGATGAGGAATTTTCTCCCAACCAAGTTCTTTGATCTTTTTCGACGTGATTCTTGCTGTGTGGGTTGCACATTGTCCTGATGAAACATCACCTCTTTTCGATTCACTAGAGCAGGTCTTTTTTTTTTCCCTCAAAGCTTGGTTCAAGCTTCTCGGCTGTGGCTGGGGTCCTTCCCCTTTACCAAGCCACTCTCTACAACACTTAACATTTCGATAAAAGATCCATTTTTCGTCGCCAGTCACAAGTCTATCCAAAAAAGGTGAAACAAGTTGGCGAGAATGGAGAGAAGATAAGATATCAACTCTGGATTTGAGGTTGTTTTCAGACAATTCATGAGGCACCCATTTTCCAAGTTTAGGAACTTTTCCAAGTTGTTGAAGATGACGATGAACAGTTGTATGATTTAAACTGAGAACCACTGCCAATTCCTCAACTGATAAAGCAGGATTTTCTTCAAGGGCTGCTTCAAGAAGCTTTTCATCAAACTCAACTGGACGTCCGGTTCAATCTTCATCTTCAAGGGTGAAATCTCCACCTCTGAATTTTGCAAACCATCTTCTGCAATTTGTTTCATTCACACATTCATCTCCATAAACTGAGTAAATGTTTTTAGCCGCTTCGGCTGCTAAGTTTCCTTTCTTGAACTCATAAAGCATTATGTGCCTCAAATGATTCTTGGGTACTTCCATGTTAGCAGGGTTTTAATCAAACAAAATTTAATTTTGTTCTCTGAAATAAAATTTGATCAGTTTAAATGCATCTAAGCATAAAAATAATGTTCAGCTCCATTAGACATTATAAAATACTCTTTAAATTTTGTTCATTTTAACAAAAAGTTAAAATTTGGACAGAACTTATGGGATGACCTGATATAATTTAAACTATATATATTGAAATAGTTTGATAAAGTATAAAACGTTTTTTGAAATCTATCCTTTCTATTCATTTTGTCTCTCGACTGTTGATCCTTTTTACAGAGGAGAGCATCTAAAATGTTTAATATTTTATTTTTCACTTTTAACAATGTTGGGTGCTAAGTGGAGGACACTATGGTTAAATTAAAATTCTTCTCTCTCTCTCAACCAAATGAAAGGCCTTATTCTGTACATTTGTATATAGTTATCAAATCTAATTGAATGATTTAATCTGCAAAAAAAAAAAAACTACCTTACAATGAGAAAGAAAAGTTGGCAAACATGGAGAAACATGTCCATAGTGAGGTGTAGTGTTAAAAGGATGGTTTCTCCTATGACACTGCTTTTTTAACTACCTTCACTCTTCAGCAATGTTTATTGTTTTATAAAGCAATGATTAGAATTAGGATAAAACCAAAACATGATGAAAATGAATTTATACATTTTTTTTTTGTTCTTCAGAATTTAAAACAAAACTATTAAACACTATTTATTAAACTGTTTATTTACTAGAATTAATTTTATATTTACAGCATTCTAAAAACTAATGCAATGAAATATTTAAAAATAAATGGGAGACAGGGACATACCAATGCAAAGTGCTGCCTGGGGCCTGTATTCATAATGGCACCATTTTTTTTTTTTTTTTTTTTTTTTTTTTTTTTAGGAAAAATATAAATGAAATACCCTTAATGACATTGGTTAGTACTTGAAAAACAACAAATTCAAAAATTAGCTGTTCAAATGTTATTGTATTTTAACCTTTCAAGCTTTTGCAGAAGCAAAGTTACTAATAACTTAGTCAAAGTCTATCTTCTCCACAGTTTCATGTTCAATTGAAATGAGGGATAAATTGGATAAGCGATCTTGTGACATACTCGATCTCAAGTGACTTTTAATGAGCTTCAGTTTTGAGAAGCTTCTCTCTGCACAAGCAACAGAAATTGTGAGTGTCAAAGAGCAATCACAATATTTGGAACTTGCTATCAATAAATCCATCTCGGCCATTCGATAGCTGATGATTTGATCATCATGGTCATGTCACATTTCACTTTGGAAGTTGCTGCTAAAAAATCCTAAAGTTGGAGAACTTCCAGAGGCACCCTAGATCCGTCTAAGTCAGCACCATTTTCACTACCTAGAATTTAAATTTTTTGCTCCAACTCACCTTCAGTATCTTCCAAGATTGCTTGCAATGATAATCCAGCGAAGGCAGTTTGCAGATGAGACATGGAATTAAACCATGCTTCCAGTTCATTTACAAGTCAATCATGATGTTTGTAAAGATTTCTCTTTACTTCCTTCACAAGTGCTTAACATACATCATCTTCCTTTTCCCCAGCTAGCTTTCTCTTTCTTCTAATGCACATTTCAACTGGAATTTCCATTTCCTTGCACTTTGTTTTACTTTGATTAACTGATTCAGACACCAGCCTGTCCCTGTTTCAGTTACAGAAAATTTTGGTTGCATCCATGTGCATTACACACACATCCAAATCAATACCAGGTTTTTGAAGTTTTTTTTGGATGAGATTTATTTGTCTCAGAATTTCTTCCCAGTAAAACAAATGTGACTTGAAGAAGTTTTCAATTGAAAGCAAAATGATTTGTGCATCTTCTATTGTTTGAAGATTTTATGAAACTGAGGTTAATGAATTGAGTGCCTGAATCACTCCTTGAAATCCGATTTTCACTGCAGGAATTGCTTTGTAACATGCACTCCAACGGGTGGTTACCAAATGCTTCATCTTGACCTTCACATGCAAAGATAAAGCATATTAGCAGCATTGTCAAATCTTATCCCGCTACGTTTTTTGAAATCAAGTTTCTCTTTCTCCAGTCGATTCATAATCATCTTCTTGATATCATAAGCTGTCTTACCATGCTCAGTGATAAAATCAAGAAATGATCCATGCACTTCCACTTCTTTGTCTTCAACGACGACATATCAACAAATGAAACTTATCTAATAAGTATGAGAAATGTCCAGCATGCTGTCTAGTATGATCACAAAATAATTGGCTTTTCAAATTCGATATATTTTCCTTTATGTGGTTTCCCAAGATATGAATGAATTCATTTCGGATTTTCGGTGATAAGTACCGCCAGTTTTCTTTTACTTCTTTCAAATAATACTTTCCAAAAACAGGATCATACTTGTTCATGAGTTCAACAAGTTCTATAAAGTTACCTTTATTGGAACTATTTCACCAGAAACTTCAAGACATCAAGTAACCGTGTTAAAACCTGTCTCTAAATCTGTCTTTCTTTCATAGTTTGTTCTTGTAATTTACTGTCAAGAGTTTTAAGAGTCATTTCCAACATCTTCCATTCCTTGAAAGCTCTTTGGTGGTCAGACGAATTTTCATGTCCAGGAATTTTTGAATTAAGCTTCTAGAACTTTTGAAATTCTGGATTTCTTGCTAGACTTGATTTGTGTTGCTGTATCTTCAGGAAGAAGTGATACTAGGAACAATAAAGAGATTTGTTTGTCTTTGAGTACAGTAACCATGAACAGCATCTCCATAGTTTTCTAAGACAAGTGTTGTAGCATTACCCTCAAATTATTTTTCCCTGGTCTTACAGTCAGAACAAACTGTCCATCTTTGTTTTGAAGCTTTTTAGGTCCCAATGTTACAAGATCGACAAGCAACTGCCCCGGACAAGTTTGTGGCCAAAATGTGATGTCTTCGTACACAGCAATCTCTGTTTTCCTGTTCTATTTCTTTATCTCCAGTAACTTCATCAGTTCCTTCTTTATATTCATACCTGTCCTTACCGCATGCACTGGAGCTCTCTTCCTTTGGCACATTATCATTGTCACCTTCAGTTTGTTAAAGAAAGTTAATTCCTGAAGGAAATTCCTCTTCAACTTCTATTTCTATATTTGTCTCCATGATATTCACATTTTCTCCATGTTCCTCCCCTCCTAGTTCTGATGTATATTCAGCATCCTCATCTTTGCATTTTGCAACATATTTAGCTACATTTTCCTTCTGTAGGAAAACCTGTAAAGATGCAGCACATTTTCTTTCCTCATGTTCTCTGGTAGCTTTCAACTTGTGGTATGCCACACCACTCAGTTTTTGCCATTTACTCATTCTAATTGATGAAAAAATAGAAAAAGAAACAAATAGGAAAGGAGCATACTCAACTTTATTTATTGTACTAAGATACAATTTGGCACAAGGCTGAAAGTTGGGTTGTTAAAAAAATAAATAATTTTTTTTTTTAACTATCTCAAACTTAGCTAGACACATTTATGACCCATTTGCATCTTATAATGGTATAAGGAAGCGTTGCTTAAAAATAGAAGTAAATAATTACAGTTTATCCTATACAACCAATGATTATTTAAATCTTTTAAATTTAATTTTTAAAATTTACTATCCTTTTTTCTTTTTTTTTTTTTTCCATATACTTTTATCTTATCCTTTTTTATTTCATTCTTATATTAAATATCATAATTTAAAATTTAATCCACAGTAATAGCCATATAATAAAAATAACTGAACATTGAACATTTGTATAAAAAAAAAAATAATCAAAATTTTATAAATGTTCACCTCTGATACTTGCATTAAACATGAACTTATTCTCCATAGAAACTGACAATTCATTCATTTTTTAGCCAAAGTAACTACCCCCTCATTGTTTTGCTGGGGTATACTTTAGTTTTTTTTAACTTTATGGCATTATGAAAGATGGTAATGAAACTAAACTAATAAGGTCAGAAATATTTAATAACAATTTATTTATTTCCATCAGTTCAGACGGTTATTTTAAAAAAAATGTTTTATAATAAAGTTTTTAAAACAAACATTAAAATATTTAATAATTACACTTCTGACTTAACTTTGTTTTTGTTTTTATAGAGAAACAAATCTTTAATCTTTTTTTTTTCTTTTTTTTTTTGTGTGTGTGTTTGTTTCTGCTACTTGATGTATCTCTTTAAAAGACGTACTTGGGGATGGGATTCTACAGTTGATCCTAAAGTAATATTTAAAAATATTTTTAAAATTCTTCTGGAATTAAAGTGTAATATTTGAAAGTTTTACAGCTAAATAATCTTAACTTACCTTTTTTATATTACAAACTTAAGATTCTTAGTCTGTAATACCAATATAAAAAGTTTATTTTGTAATATGCACTACATTTGATTTTTCTGAAAATGTTTAGTTTAAAAATCTCTTAAAAAAAAATTTAATGTAGAATAATGTTATTTTCACATAATTCTAAAATAGTGATTTTATGGGAAATCTATTGGAATCTCTTAAGAGCCTGATATTTATACAGTTTTCGAACTTTGAAAATTGCAATTTTATTAAAAAAAAATTTCAAAATGTAAACAAACTTTAAATCATGTATATTTCTGGTTCTACATTACTACGAATATTCTTCTTTATTTAAAAAATCTCCAATCTTTTTCGGCGAAAAGAACGAATTGAAAAGAAAAAATGACATTCATTTGTAACAAGTTTCAAAGATCTACAGTTGATCAGTCTAGGAGGAGATTCTACAGTTAAGTTGGGGTGGAGATTTTACTGTGATCAGTTCAGTGATAGGGATTCTTCAACTAATCCAATGTTATATATCAACATTTTTCAATAAAAAAGCAAATAATTGATTATCTTCAAAAAGGAATAAATGTGAAAAAAAAATTGAATGGAGAGAAGAAAAAAAAATCAAAATATTAGATTTATTTTTTGAAACACCATAACATAAAAATGAATGATCACATCTTCAATCTTTTTCACCCGCAAAATGCTGCCCCCATAAGATGATGCCCAGGGCCCAATGCTCCCCCCACCCCCAATTGGTATGTCACTGATGTGAGAAGAATTTTTTATTCATAAATTTATAAATATTTACTAAATTATTAAAATATGCAAACAACTATAAGGAAATCTTTATCTACCATTTTGTAAAGTTTGAATTGACTGACGTTTAGCCAATGTTTTGCTGATCATTCCAATAAATATAATAAATACTGTAAATAAAGAATCAAATAGTGTTTATTATTTTTGTTGTCAAGAACAAAGAAAGTGTATAAATTTATTTTCATATGTTTACAATTCTAATCATCGCTTTTTAAAGCAATAAATACAGCTGAAGAGTGAAGGTAGTTAAAAATAAAATTGGTGTCATGGGGGGAAGAACATCCTTTTGACACTCCATCCTATTGTGGGAATGTTTTTCCATGTTTGCCGAAAAGTTTTACTTTGTCGGGACATTTAGAACTAGCATTTATATAGAAAATCAACATCCTTTACCAAGTGTTCCAAGTAATAGAACTCAAGATAACCTTTTCCAAAACAGAAACTATAAGCTGGAATTGGAACGAAAGCAGTGATGACACATACACTGAATCCATCATAAAAATTCAGGATGTGGAATTAGTAAATACTAAACACTTCAAATACATCAGTGTATGAATCAGTTATAACAGATTTAGTATAGGAGAAAAGGAAATTAAAGACAGAATAGGCTGAACCAGAAGTAGTTTTGTATAACACTGCAAATTACTACAAAACCAAAATATCAACCTGAAAACTTGAGTCCTGTTTTTGTTAAATCGAGACTTTCATATGGAAGGCATGCATAGTGTTAAACCCGTTGAGAAATATCTAAACTGTCAGCTGTATACTACTGCTTTCTAAGATCAGTGGGTAAAAACACTTTGAGGAAGTGAAGCATTGAGGGTCTTCACAAAAATATTCCTTCTTGGAACATTGTAGAATGGCACTATAGAATAACAAAGAATTGAGTGACTGAGGCCACATTATGTTGCAGGCTACGCCAACTCGAGTCGATAACTGTCTGCTTCTTCTACTTCAGGCCTTCTCGTTTTTACTACCGTAATTACACATCATGATAACTAACGACGATCCAAAAAGAAAACCTAAACCAGCCCTTCAAAAATCACCTAAACTCTTTTAACATTTCCTTTTCTAACATCCATGGCATTAGAACCAATTTCTGCAATGTGGAATCTTTCCTCATTGCGAACTGCCCAGATATACTGGCTCTGTGTAAGACCAACCTTGACTCGTCTATCCCCTCCTCTGACCTCTCGATCCCCGGCTACCTTCCTCTCCTTAGAAAAGACTCTCAAACCCACATGCATGGCCTTGGAGTTTACGTCAAGGTCTATCTTCCTCTGGCTAGAGAGCTGTCTCTTGAATCTCCAGACCATTTATACTTGTGTCTCTGGCTATCTCTTCTCAATGCTGTAAGCTACCTCCTCTTCCTTTATCGCTCACCATCCTCCCAAGACTCTGGTATAATTGAATGCGTTTCTGACAGCATTGACAAGGCTCTCTCTCTCCATCCATTTGTTCACATATTCGTGTTTGGTGATTTTAATGCCCATCATACCGAGTGGCTTAAAAACGCTACTACTGACCTTGCAGGCATACAAACCCTTAATTTTTCAATTTCTCAATCCATCATGCAAATAGTTGACTTACCCACGTGTTTTCCTTACAACCTGGACAGAAAGGCTTCTCTTCTCGATCTATGTTTTATCTCCATCCCCGAGTCCTGTAGCACCATGCAGCTCTGCCCACTTGGCAACTCCGATCATGCTGTAGTGTCTGTCAACATCTTCAACTTCACCTCCTTGCAAAGAACCTCCCTACCACTAGAACCTCGTTCTGCTATCAATGAGCAGACTGGGACTCATTCCAGGATTTCCTTTGCGATGTTCCCTGGGATGTTGTCTTTACGCTCCCCCGTTCAAGAATGTGTTTCCGGTTAAAGCTGGAAGCGAGGCTTTCATCCCCTCAAGGAATATAAAGTCAAAATTGCGCTCCTCACCTTGGTTCTCCGCTGCTTGCTCAGCTGCCATTGCCCATAGGAATCACTTCTTCCACCTATATCGTAGCGACATGTCTGACTGCAGTAGATGTCTCTTTGTCTCTGCCTGTAACAAGTGTAAGCGTGTCCTCAATGAAGCAAAGTCACTATTTGCTGCTCGAATGAAAAAACGTATTGCATCTTGCAAAATTTGCTTCGAGGATTATTGGCGTCTCTGCAAGAGCGTACTTAACAATAGCAAACCCTCTATACCTCCTTTGTTCAACCAGTTTGAGGTTCTGACCTCTTCTGCCGACAAGGCTGAATGCTTTGCTCAGAAATTCTCATTCAATTCAATGCTTGACTCTTCTGGTGTACTCACACATGATTTCCCCCTTAGAACTGAGGCTCTATTGAGCAAGTTGCACATAACCCCGTCATCAGTATTGGGCATTATCTCTAAATTAGACCCCCACAAGGCTAGTGGTGGAGACGTGATACCAGCCATTGTCCTGAAGAAATGTGCACCTGAACTGGCCCCTGCCCTCTCCAAATTATAAAACTACTGCCTCAATGAATCTTGTTTTCCAGCCTGTTGGAAGTCCTCATCCATTGTTCCTGTCTTTAACAACTCTGGTGACCCTTCTGACTACCATACTATCAGTCTCCTACCATTCTTTGGCAAAGCCTTTGAAGCTTTAATCAATGCCAAAGTGGTTAAGCACCTTACATCCCATGATCTGCTCTCCAACAAGCAATATGGTTTCCGCTTTGCCCATTCTACAGCTGATGTGCTTACGGCTATAACTGAAATTGTTTGCCAAGCACTTCATAATAACGGAGAAGCTCGTGCCATGGCTCTAGATATCTCCAAAGCATTTGATAGGGTTTGGCATTCTTCACAAGCTTCAGGGTTATGGAATTTCAGGTTGATTGTTTGACTTAATACAATCATTCCTGTCAAACTGTGTATTGAAGGTCATTCTCAACAAATTCTCCTCCAGTTCCTATCCCACAAACGTAGGTGTTCCCCAAGGCTTTATCCTAGGCCCTACTCTGTTCCTTATCTTCATTAACGATCTTCCTGATGTCATTGGTTCCCAAGTAGGTATCTATGCAGGCGACACTACTATTTACTCCTGTCTCAAAAACAAATCTACTGTTGCTGACAAAACTAACCTAGCTGTTTGTCTCAAAAAGGACCTCCAGTTGGTTGTGGACTGGGGTAGGATTTGGCTGTTTAACTTTCATGCCTCAAAAACAAAACTGCTCTCTATTACTCACCACAGAGAACCATCCCTGCCTTCCATTAGAATGTGTGATGCTCAACTCCATGAGAGCACCTCTTTGCGACTGCTTGTTATCACATTGTCTACTGACCTGAAATGGAACAAATACATTGAGTCAATTGCTTCGTCCACCGCAAGGAAAGTTGGCTCCCTGTGCCGCGCCAGGAAATTTTTCTCACTTGAGTTGATTCTTCAAATGTACCAATCAATCATTCATCCTTGCATGTCATATATGGTCTGGAGCCCCTTCTGTTTTTCTCAAGGTCTTTGATAAAACCCAGAGGCGGATATGCAATGGCCCTGATCTGGCATCTCATCTGCAGTCACTCTCTCACAGACGTGCCATTGCCTCCCTCTGTCTTTTTTACAAATACTTCATGGTAACTGCTCTGATGAGCTGCTTTTGCTGGTTCCCAGGCATCATGAAATCAACTAGTCTGGCATCTCGCTCTCACCCTTTCACTGTCGAAACTGTTAAATGTAGCAGTCTCCTCTACTCCAATAGCTTTATGTCTCGAACTTCTCACCTGTGGAACTCCCTCCCCTTTTCTTGTTTCCCTGATAGCTATAATCTCCAACTATTCAAATGTAATGTCAATCAACATCTCCAGATGCCTTGAGCTATCCCCTATCCTTCTCTTCATCATTTCCTATCACTCCTCTTTGCTCTTGCTCCAACTCTCTGTAACCCCTTGCGTGCTAGTAGCTTCCCACCTTGCTTGAGGTGAAACACTTTAAAAAAAAAAAAAAAAAAAAATGATAGAAATCACATCAGGACTACCAACAGCAGCAACAACTAAAATGGATAGCATATGTAACTTGAAGAGACATTCCAAGCTACTTCAAATAAGTTTAGGAAGGAACCCCACCCCCTAATACTGGTAAGAGTGATAACAGCTACTGAACTTGAAAAACTTTTTTCCTGAAAAATTGCTTTAAGAGAAATATTTTATAAATTTCAACCAAAAGCATTACTGGCTGCTCAATCAAAGAATGCCAAATGTTACCTTGTAGGGAAATGCCTAATATTATCATTACCATTTCATTATCTTTCTTCATTTAATATTATTTATTTGGAATTAAGGTTATCTTAACTGTGTGTTTAACATTTTCACCTTCCATAGATTATAAAGTCTATAAAAATAAGTCCACTTCATAAATTTACAAGTTTCTTTTTATTTATTTTTTCAGATTTTAATCTCTTAAATCTGCTGAGGACTCATGAGTACAAACACAAATTATTGATTATCTTGGTAAGTCTCTCAAGCTGTTCCCCTTTCTACATTTTTATTTCTCCTCTCTTAATTTATTACTAAAATTCAATAAGCCTAATTTTTTTTATTGTAATTTATTAAAATATTATTGACTTAATGCATGGATATTGTTTTACTAAAACTTTTAGATGTGACAGCTTTTTCATTAATAATTCAGTTCTATTTATGAATAGTCAGCAAAAACATTTTTACACAGGCATATACACACAAGTATATGTACATTTAGATAGCAGTCCTTCATTCATACAAGTTTGATTAAAAAATCTTAAACAAGAAGCTTTCGTTAACTTGTCTGTATGCAAGAGAATTCTTGTCTGGATCTATTAAATATAAATATTTTCCAAATTTTTTAGCATTTTCAACACTTAACTGAAAACTGGATGTTGCCTTACATTTTTTTAAAAATACTTTTTAAATTCAGTTTGCTCTTTAAATATTGTAATGATAAAGAATATATGTAGAATATACATTGTGTATGTTTAAAAAAAATTGCTTCAGATTATTGAAGATCTTTTAAACTGAAAATTGTTTGGGAACTGGGATTTTTGAATGTAGTTAATAACTGACAAAATTTTTCTCAGTAAAGAATTTTGCTTCTGTTGTCTCACAACTTATAAATGCCAAGCTTATATAGTATTCAAAAACAGGAAAGTGTCAACAGTTTTTCCCTGTTCTTGATAATGTCCACAATTGTGATTAACACAATGTTTGGACAATATTTACATTCATTGTATCCAGACATGCAGTTTCTTTCCTCTAAGGGGAAAAAAAAAGGTTCCTTGTCTATCTTTAATTACTCATGTATTTATTTACATGCAGCCATCATTTGTTTGCATGGATTTTCCAAGGAAGTACACAACATGTTGATTTTTACCTGAATTTGAGTTTTTTTTTTTTTTTTTTTTTTTTTCTTCCTTTAACTTCTTCCTTTAATTTCTTCCTTTAACTTCTTCCTTTAACTTCTTCCTTTAACTTCTTCCTTTAACTTCTTCCTTTAACTTCTTCCTTTAACTTCTTCCTTTAACTTCTTCCTTTAACTTCTTCCTTTAACTTCTTCCTTTAACTTCTTCCTTTAACTTCTTCCTTTAACTTCTTCCTTTAACTTCTTCCTTTAACTTCTTCCTTTAACTTCTTCCTTTAACTTCTTCCTTTGTCAGTTTTAAAGACTTCTAAGATTGAATATAATAAAGTTGGATGGTTTTTATCTTTTCTCCAAGTTTCTTAATGATAATCTCAAAATGCATTTTTCTCCTTTATTTATAAGTCAGAAATTTACAAGTGTTATTTTTCTTTGTATTTAAATATATATCAACTGATAATCTATTAATATTTTCCTAGTCTGCTAAAAATGACATGCTTTTGACTGATACTTTTCTGTTAGTCTTCAGATCAGATCCCTTTACCCAATATGCAGAATTTTGTCAGTTTCAAACCATAAATTGAACCCTAACATCATGATCCTTTAAAAAGAAATTCCAGATAGACCTATTAATGACTACAAATAAGTCTCCTCAACCACTACTTTGTGGAACAGACTCCCAAAAGGATGCTTTTCCAATTACTACAATCATAAAGTCCAGGGTTAACAATTGTCTTTCTTATATATCCTCATAAATTGCACTTTCTCTGCTTACTGCACTTACAGTCACTTCATTCTGTAACCCTCTAACTTGAGTGGCCCTTGGGTCTTGTATTGGGTGAACATTAGAAGAGAAAAAAAACAATCATATACTATTATATTTTTTATTTTTATTTTTTTTTTAAGTCTAAAAAATCACAAGACAGAACTTGGATTCTTGTGACTAAGTTCATGTGACATGGACTGATATTACTGATCTTTCCATTTTGGGATAATTTTAGCTTATTTTGGTAATAGCTTCCAAAATAAAGTTTCAGTGTTGGGGTTAGGCAGGAACAATGATCTGCTTTACTGTAAAAACTGTTGACATTTTGAAAATTGGTTGATAAATATGAAAAAGTAAAAGAATAGAATTTTAACATTCTATATATAAAAATCAAAGAAGCCAATAAGAAATTGGAATAAGTATGAAAGCAGGTAAAAATGTTGAGCATAATTGATTGATGATGGCATGGTCGATCAAACACAGGTTTTCAAATTAACCAATTCGTAGAAAGCAGGTAACAAAGTTAAGGATAATAGATTGATGATGAAATGAGTGATCAAAAGCAGGTTATCCCATTACAACTTGGTTAACTGTGTGGAACTGGTAAAATCATTAACCTAGCAACATTTTAAAAACCTCACATGCTTGGAAATCCCCTTTGCATGATTCAGATTTTACTGATAAACAAAGTTGTTTTTTTTTTTTTTTTTTTTCTTCTTATGTAAATGGGACAAATTTATTGTAGCTTGATTTCAAACCCACTTTTCTAGATTTTTTTTTTTTTTTTTTTTACAATTTGTGCAAGTAGAATAGGTGATGTGGTTTTGTATAAATTACCAATTTTGAGAAGAGAACTCTGCTAACTGATGTAGCTTGTGAAAAAGTATGAATTACCTTATTCCTCTACTCTATCCTATCACCAGACAAAACTCTTGTTACTATCATGCAGTAGTTGGTACAAGAATACTTTCAAAGATTTTTCTCTGTTATGGTTATCATCTAAACCAGTACTACTTATCTCATGTTACTTGGGGAGGAAGTGAGTACTGCCTTTTAACCTTTGTTTTAGAGATAGTCTGAAAACCAGCATGACATTTCAGTGATTTCTTGTACTCTGAGATCAACCAACAAATACAATAGTTTGAAATGTATGGATTTGTTTAAATTTTCCAAAATTCATTGTGGCTACACTTAGCTTTGAACCTAAGCTCACAATATTCTCTAAAATTTGCTTATCATAGATTTTACAAGTATAGTTTATCTGATTTGAATGGCTAAAGTTTAAGAGCAAGTATCTTTTGATGTTAACATGTAGTGACATTTTCACTTGCAATTGAATCTTCTCTTTCTCCCTTTAAGCTAACAAAGGTAAATGAGTTTACCTTTATAGTTTTCTTATTCTTACCGTTTCAAAGCAACTATCACCATTTTCACCTTACCTGATCTGTTCACCATTTTGACTGAATTTCAAATTAACTTTCAGAAATGTTTTAATAGAAATGTTGTCATTAATACACTTATTTTATTTTTTTGTTTTTAAGAAATACCAACATACTTTTTTTTTTTGTGCTCCAAAATTCTGTATTCATGAATCATTAAGTAATTATATCTTTTCTTGGTAAAGTTATTAATCACCATTCTTTGGAAGGCTTTGTTGTGCAGACTGGGTGGCACATATTTTGAAAGCTCTTCACAAAATAAGTGAGTGCCAACTTAATTTATGAATATTTATTATTTAGTATGTTAAATGGTGTTTGACAATAGTAAATGAAGATCATTCTGAATCTATTTCAGATAAAGTGATATGAATTAAAGTAAAAAAGAAAAACAAAGTTTGTCACATTCTTTGAAACAATTGATGTAGCTTAAGGCAGAAGATGAATTCTTATTATAGAATTATTTCTTTTAGAAAAATAAAGACTAGAATTTTCAGGTTACATCACTGTATTTATCCATTCAGATTAGTGAAAGGTTTCCTGACTTTAGTGGAAAGGTGGAGATTTGTTTGTACAATTGTGAACACTTTTCGTACTAAAGAGCTGAATTAAATTTACTTAACTTCCAATGATAAGACCTCTAGGTAGGTTTCAAGAATAGTAAATTGAGTAGTTTTCTCTTAGCATAAAGCAGTCATGTATAATATGAAAATGAATTGATTTTAGTTTAGTTAGCAAAAAATATAGGCTAAAGTTTAAAATATAAACTGAGGGCTCAGTGCCAAAATCAGTAGAGCTTAAATATATTATATTATTATTAATACAATAATATTATGATCATAATCAAAATTTGCTACTTAGTTTCATGCTGTGTGTGTGTGTGTGTGTGTGTATATATATATATATAATAATCCAGTTAATGAAGTTTGAGAAATAAAGACAACAAAATAATAACAATATTGGCAATAAGGTTAATATTTATTATATATTAGCTTTTTGACTAAACTGAAGCACGAAGAGAAAAATTTTAATGTCAGAATTTTCAGACACACCTGTCTCCTTTTTCAATGAGATGAGGAATAAACAAAAGTGGGAATCGCTCTTCTGGAGAAATGTTGTTATTGTTGGTTAGAGGGGCTCTCTGTGGAAACTATAATCTTTGAGTAAATCCAAATCCCTGTTTAATCCTTTAATATGTGATTCTATTTTGAAAATGTATTTTAACTCTAATCTGCATCTTCCTTGTCAGCTGTTAAATGAAGACACTAAAGACATGCATCTCATGTCATCGATGCTATAGAATTATTCGTTGAAGTGTACAGGAACATCGTTGTAGTTGCCTTTAATGGTGTTTTTATGGTTATTAAACCAAAGGCGGAATTCTGTAACTTTTTCTCCAATTTAATTCCCTTCTTTGCATTTGTGGCAGAAAAGTAAAAATATAAAATTTGAACTGTCATAAGTCAGAGCTGTGTGTGTGTGTATATGCACATGTGCGCACACACACACACACACACACACACACACACACACACACAAACTAATTTTTGCTAGCAATGGATATAACAGCTGTGTTCTGCCATTGCAAAGGCTATTAGTCATGGAAAGTAGATAATGTAGCTAATATTTATGTTCTGTCATGTCATGGTATTAGGTTGGCATAAAAATCAACTTTTAAAGCAGTATATCTTTGCTGAGAATAAAATTCTGATAGCTAAGGAGTTTTGGAACTGCTGAATTCTTGAGCCATTTCACTTACTACTTGGCTGTTGAAGATCAACTTTAGCAGGAAATTTTCAAAATGCCTGAAAAATGTGGTAGTTTGTCAGATCTGGGGAGTAAGCAGTGTAATATAGTTTTGTTGTCCAGTTTGTTTGGTTTCTGTAGAGGCATCTGCCAGACTTGTTGGGCATTGCTA